TATGGAGATTCCTCAAAAAGTTGAAAATAAAACTACCTTATGATCCAGAAATTCCATTTCTGGGCATTTATCTGAAGAAAACAAAAGCACTAATTTGAAAAGATATATGCTCCTCAATGATTGCATTATTTACAATCACCAACATATGGAAACAACACAAGTGTCCATCAATGGGTGAATGAAAAAAGAAATTGTGATGTGTGTGTGTGCATATAGACATATATGGAATATTATTCAGCCATAAAAAATAATGAAATCTTCCCATTTATAACAATGTGGCTGGACCTTAAGAGCTTCGTGCTAAGTTAAATAAGTCAGACTGAGAAAGACAAATACCATATGATCTATCTTCTATTTAGAATCAAAAATAAAACATAAAGGAAAGAAAGAAAAATAAAAGAAAGCCAAGCTCAAATTGGTGATTGCCAGAGGCAAGAAGTAGGGAGGTAAGACAGAATGAATGAACTGGTTTGGGATTTTTTTTTTAAGTTTAAAAATAATTAAATAAAATAAAAACAAGTGTTAGAGATGGACTTGCACCTAAACTTCCCAACAATCAGGACAAATAAACTAAAGAGATAGAAGGATAAATGCATGAATCTCTTCACCCCGGGCTCCAAATAGTGATGTTGGGAATTTAGCTGAGCTGAGGATGCTGTGGAATGTCCTTAATTATCATCAGAAAAGGGCTGCAACACACGGCTACAGCTGTGACATGATACACATCATACTTCTCTTATATAGTCAGATCTCATCATTCACATTAGTTATGTTATTAAACTGCCACAAACACCAAATTAGCAAATGCTGAACCATTGCTCCTAGGGGAAATACAAGGTTCAGTTCCTATAAGCTTCTGGTCACAACATTTTCATCAACCAGTCCATACATAACCTTGTAAAGACCCAATAACAGCAAATTATTATATACTCATTTAGCATGTGCCAGGCACAATTCTAAGCATTTTGTATTTGTTAACTTATATAAACCTCATAATAACTCTAAGAGGCAAGTACTATGGTAATCACCATGGGTTTTTTTTTTAAGATTTTATTTATTTACTCATGAGATACAGAGAGATAAAGAGAGAGAGAGGCAGAGACATAGGAAGAGAGAGAAGCAGGCTCCATGCAGGGGGCCCGATGTGGGACTCGATCTTGGGACTCCAGGATCACGCCCAAGGCTGAAGGCAGGCACTCAACCGCTGAGCCACCCAGGCATCCTGGTAATCATCTTTTTAATAAAGATGTTAAATAATCTGCCTAAGATCATGCAGCAAGGATATCATTCAGGTAGTCTGGCTCCAACTTGTAGTTTTTTAACCAGTATATTATACAGCAGATATTCTACAGGTATTTCAAATCTAACATTACCAAAACTCTGCATTCATCTGCCACTCTCTCATTAAAATAAAGATATCTTGCTGTGCTTCTTATATATTTCCTTCTTGTTAATAATTCCAACTTTCACATAATACCCAAATGAAGAAGTCTGGGAGCCATCCAAATCTCCTAACCTCACGAATTCCCCATGTGAGATCTGTCCTCAGATTATGTCAATTAACCTTCTTAATTATTCCCACATCTGCCCATTTGTCTTCAACCTCACTGCCCATATCCACATCTTCCTCTGTAAGTTTTAACTGGACTCTCTGCTTCCTATCTCTTGCAACTGTGATTCGTCTTCCCAATGTCCAAAATGATGCTTGCAAAATGCAAATCTGGTTATTGTACATGTTGCTTAAAACTCTTCAGAGGCTCCCAATAAGAAAAAAAATCAAAGTGTCAGTGGAATACACAATGTCCCTCTGATATGGTCCCTGACTACTATGACCCTTGTGTCCTGTCCCTAGCCAGAATGCTAGGGTCTATCCACACCAAGTTACCTGACATTTTTTAATTTGCTATCTGTTTCCTCCCTGCCACTGCATATCCCATACAGTTTTCTCTACCTTGAACAGCCTCCTTCTTTTTTCCCCCCTTTCAATTCCCAGTCACCTGGAAAATTCTTATTTACCCTTCAAATCCAGCTCTAATATCCCTTCTTCTGGAAACACTCCTTGACACCGTCCCCAAGAAGAGTTGAATATTTCACTCTTCATCCATGTATGGAATGCTGCCCCAGCACTCAACCCACAATACGGTCATGTTTTACATCGCCATCTCCCTTGTTTTATTACTGGCTCCTAAAGGACAGAAAGGGGGCCTTATTCACCATCTCATTCCCAACACCCGGCATGTCAGAGATGCCCAGTGAATGCTTGTGGAATGAACACACAAATGAATGAATAAACCACAATACACAGTGACATTTGACAAATAGGAAATAAATAAGAGGCAAAACTTACACTATCTATCCTAAAAACCTGGAACAGTGGTAGAAAAATGAACAGAAATGAGGAAACTGAAAAGCATGGGGACCAGGAAATCAGCTTGGGGTGAGAAAAGAAAATGATGGGTTTGGGTTTGAACAGGTTGGATTGTATAGTACCAGTAGATGGTTAGAAAAACAAGATCAGAAAATAGATGAGAGTTCAAGGTTAAAATTGTAAGTTTGAGAACTAAACTAAGAGAGATGATTTTCTTTTTACCAAGAAAAGCGTTTTCCAATTAAATGAGAGTAGAACAAACAATTTTTGCTGACTTTCTTCTAGAAAGAAAATGTTAAAGAACTTTCTAAAGATAATTTAAAACAATAATTATGAAAGTCACATTTAACAGAACCACGGTTTATCATAATTCATTTTTTTCAGTTGGTCCTTCCCTTTTCATCTCTATTATCATACTCTCTACAAAGGGAACTACAAAGAGAAAGTATGTGGAAGGGCCATCCAGAAAGTACTTTTTCTTAGAACAGTACCAAACCAGAGGCAGAAACCTCTGGGAGTGATTTGGGCTGGGCCATTGCTTCTTCTCTAGAATTTTCCCTCATAGCAATGCCCACCCCTACCCTGACAATCTCCTCTGAACACTTTCCGGCTGACCAGTAGGATATAGAAAAACTGCCCATTTCATGTCCCTGCTTTCCATTCCCTCTGAAAAGCCTGAAGAACTCATCAGGGATTATACTGATGGTGTATAGGTGGTATTTATATCTAAATGACACCAAAATGGTATGTAAAAAGGCAAAAAACAAAAAGCATATAGTCAACTGGTTATATAAGCCAACTTGAGATGAGGTATGAATGATTGTTTAGTGCAATTACACTACTCCAAATATCTAGTCTGATTTTTTCTTTCTGAATTGACCTCTGGAGGTGTGTGTATACCACACAGAAACAGCCAGTAACGGACAGGGGAAGTGTGATTTGCAGTGATACAGCCAGCCCAAACAGGTAAAATCAACAAGAATATATGATGCTTGTTTCCGTGCTAACCCAATGTAGGTGGAGCCCTGGAAAATGTTTTAAGACCAGAAAACAGCTATCCCCTGGGACTTTTACATAATTCACCACAATGGGCAAAGTAGTACCAATCCTGGCTGTAGGATTTACACTACTCCAGGCTGGCACTTTGCTTATAGCTTCCTGAAGCTCTTTTATCAGTTTCCAAACCAACTTCCAAAGAGACCACACTATTAAAAGTGTGTTACAGCTCTGCTCTCCTGGACTGCTACGGGGCCATCATATTGGGCATGAAGTCCTAGAGCCTCATTTTCACATTTTCACATTTTTAAAGCATTTCCTACTTCTCTACCCTCCCCACTCTCCCCTGCCTCGTGAATCAGGACATCCTGGGGTGTAATGCCAGAAACACTGGATTCCACACTGCGGAATGGAACCGTGACAGGACCCTCCCCAGACTCTCCTAACGTTTATGCCTACATCAGGCAGACAGTGGTGTCGGGTGAACCTGGGTGCGGATCTTACACAAATTACTCAACTGCAAAGAAACTATTTCCTTACCTGGAAAAAAAAATGGGAATAATAATAGCATTCTAAGGGACTTGTCCTGGGGATGAAGTAAGGTGACACCAGCACAGCAATCACTACAACACCTGGACCCTAGAGATACTCAGTGAATACTTGGCCCCCTCTTTTTCCTCCACGCAGTTTCATCCAGTTTAGGGGCCCCTTGGTTCACCTTGCTCCACTCAGCACCCTCACTCTGGCCGTAGCACCCACATAGACCCACATAGGACACTCTCAACTCCTAGTGTCTGTCACACTCACCCCTCATGTGTCAAAAACTAAGTTTAGAGACTGAATTTGAGGGAGGTGACGATTGTTCCAATCACAACTAAACTGTATTTTGAGTATAGTGATGAATCATCTTCCCGTGTGTACTTTTAAATGGTTCGTGGCATCGAGGACGTTTGCATGACACTTTCACTTTTCCGTTCCTCTGTTTTCAAAAAACTACATTTCGAGTATATTCGTGGATGTATTCATGTATATTACCTAGGCCCATAAATATGTGCGGCTGTAGGTGCTTAACTGCAGAAACGCTGAATAATTCGTGACGCTGTGCCAGGCCCTGTGCAGAAAGGCAGCTCACCTCATTCTCAAGGTAACCCCACGAGAGGAGCGCAATTCTTGCTCCCCTCTTACAGATGGAGACACTGAGACCTAAGGACGTTGGGTAACTTCGCCTAACGTGAAGGTCGCACAGCTAATAAGCAAATATCTCAAAAGCGCTCAAAATTGCTAAATAACCAGCTGCATTTAGGAGGCTCCGGGTTTTCTTTTAATGGGCAGCAGGGAAGCGGTGGCTTAAGTGCGTTGAGCTTTGAACCGAGCGCGCCGCTGAGCCGCCAGGAGAGAAGCAGGAGGACAGGTGCCCCTTTCGGAGACCAGGGGACGCTGCAACCCGAAGCCTCCTCCAGGGCCGCCGCCCGGAGGTCGGAGGCTGCACCCAGCCCGGGCTCGGCTGCAAACTCCCGCGGGCCTGGCGCGGCTCTTTCTTCCAAAGTTGGAGCTCTCCTTGGTGGGAGGCGGTGGGGAGGAGGGCAGGCGGGTGACGTCATCGGGAGCGGGGATAAAGCTCCCCGGCCGCGCTCCGGGCGAGGGCACTTTCTGGGGAGCCGAGCGGCCGCCCGGCTCGGGGACCCTGGGCGCGGGCAGGGCCGCCCCTCGCTGCGCCCCGCTCGGGGAGCCCCAGGCGCTCGCTCCGGGCCGCGCCAAGAGCACCATGCCGCAGAACGTGGTCCTCCCGGGCCCCGCGCCCTGGGGCTTCAGGCTCTCGGGGGGCATAGACTTCAACCAGCCTTTGGTCATCACCAGGGTAGGTGCCTTCCGTCCTCCGGCTGCGGGGCGGGGGCTGGCGCGCGCGGGGCCCCCGGGATCCGAGGGCGGCCCGCGAGCCCCGGGTGCGCTGCGTGGTCCCCCGGCCCCGGCTCAGAGCTTGAGGGGCGGCAGCCACCTGGCGAGCCGAAGCTGGGGGATGCAGAGCGGTGTTCCGAGACTTCACCAAGTCCGCGCCGGGCTCTCGGTCCGCAGCCCCTGGGTCCGCAGCAACTGCCCAGGAGGGGTGCACTGACAGCGCGACCGCGCCTCGGCCCGGAGGAGGCTGGGTGGGGGCTTCTGCCCTCAGCCCCAGCCACCCCGGGGTCCTTTCTGGAACAAAAGAAATGAGGGCCCGGGAGGAGGGAGGAGTGATCGACCTCGGCGGGGGTTGCGGTGGTTCCTGGGACCTAGATGCGCACCTGAGCGCGCTTCACCTGCGGACGGAGCTGCGGCGAGGGGGAGCTCAGGACGCGGCCGGGTCGGCCGACTTGGGGCCGCTCCTATCAGCCCAGACGGGGAAACTATTACTAATGTGTTTTCCTAGGTTTCCAAGCATTTTGGAAAAAAAAAAAAAGTCTCCAAAGCTGGGAATTTGGCTTAGGAAGCCTCTCCTATAACTCAAACTACAAAGAAAATGCGAGCAGATAGTTTAGTTTACCTGATGGAAAGTCACCAGTCAGCCTGATGACTTTGAAAAGTAATACTTGACTGTCAGAGTCAAGTTTGCCTTACTTAATATTCCCCCAGAGTATTGTCTAATTAGAAAAAATTAAAAAAGAAAGAAAGATAAAAAGAAAAAGAAAAAAAAAAGAAAGAAAAGGGAAATTTAGGGATTTCTGGCCTGTTAGGAAATTTCTAGTTGGTCTAGTTGATTTTTTTCTAACGCAAGTGTTTGTCTTACTAGAAAATTATTTGTTACCACTAAAAGGCATTTTTAAACACATCTAAAAGCATAAACTTTCAGAATATTATACTTTTCTTATGTTTTCTTTCCTTCCTTACTTCTTATATTGTATTTTATAAATGTATGCCTTGTAATCTGATTTACTCATATATATTTTTGAACAAGGTAATATCTTTTAAATTCTGTTCTACTTAAAATTATATATCTATGAGACTTGGGAACCAATGTCTTTTTGTAAATATCTCAAAGCATGTGCCACACATACACATACCATGGAACATTTCAAGCTTTGTTTTACATTTTTCAAAAACATATAAACACATCTGACATGTGTTTTTGTATGAGACATGAAAACTTAACATACCCCCCAAAATGTTCCTAAGTAAATTAAGCAGAAAATGGTTTAGTGATCTGGGCCAAGCAATGGATGCCTTTTATGGAACTACCAACCAAAACAGTTTCCATTATCTCTACTAAGAAATATTTTTAAAGTTTCTGAAGTATAGTTTTCATTTGTTTAGATTAAAGGAAAATAAGCTGTTGAATCCTAACAAAGGATAAATCACATTTCTAGTAAATCCTAAAGAAATAATTTTGTCACCAAAACCTTTTAAGAGATTTATAAAAGAAATATCTTGCTATTACTATGTAACATGTCAATATGATTAATCCTATGTTTGAAATGTTGAGTTGTTGACATTACAAACAAACTTTATTTTAAAGCAGGGCTTATATATCCCAGTTGGACTACAGGAGCTATTGGCAAATGTATTTGATATGACAATTATTATCTGGGAAACCAATTCTAATTTTTTTTCATTTTTTCGAATTTCTAATTCATTACTAATTTGTATCCTTCATTTTGTTATTTTCAATAACAATGCATGACTATAAATGATTATCTCATTTAATTTCAATTAATTTAACTTAAGAATAGCAGGTTAAATTCAACTATTTTCTATTCCAAGTGTTCCCCAAACCACGCACATAGCAGATGCATGTTGAATAAATGAAAGCTTATTCACTTCAACCTTTTTGCCTTAGTGAAAACCTAATTGAGAATGTTCCCAGTGAAATCATAAGAACAGTAAAAATCGCTTGTAAGAAGAGTAAAAGATATTACATGAAACTAATTATCAGTGTTGTAATAAAATAGTAAAATTTTATTACTTTTATAATTTTTGTACTTTATTAAATGGTAGTGAATAAGATCTTATGCGTATTATTGCACTTCGATGCTTGCCATGCACATCTCTTAGCCCTTTATACTAACTCACTTAAACCTCACAATAATCCTGTAAGAGTAGTTACTATTCTTTTCGCAGATAAGAGATGAGGCTTCAAGAGTTTCACCAACCTGCTGAAGATCACAAATGGTGGGACAGAACTTAACACTAGTTCTACTTGCCTCTGCAGGCTGCATTCTAAAGTCTCCACATGTAGAACAAACAAATGAACAAAAACAAAACAGTTTATTGTACAGATCTTTCCAAATAGATGTTTTACGCCATCCACTTCATCATCCCCTGGTTCTATTGATTCTCTGTCTTTAGGATCTACCACTTGCCTTTTCCCCTACCTCTGTCCTTATTCAAGCTTCCATAAATTCACACCTAGGTCTTTGTCTCCTCTCTCCGATTCACTCTGCATTTGTCTGACCAGCCACTTCAGGAAATGCTAGGTTGCTTCTATCCTCCTCTTATCCCTTCAATGCAATGCCAGTTTAGAGAGAATAAAATACGTGGTCTCTGAGCACATTCACGGCCTTCACTCCCTTCCAAACTCAAGTTTCCAACTTCATTTCCTCTCTCTTCTTCCTTTAGATTAGGTAGTCATGTCACTACTCCGGACAACTTATGATTCCTCTATCTGTTCACAGCTGCTATCATTTTTCTCCAGATTTTTCCTTTCTGCCCTACCTCACTGTCCTCTCTCTAAGGAAACTCAATCAAACAACACTCCCCTAGCCTTCTACTCATAATAAGCATTTCATCCATTTGGTTACCATAGCTCTTGCCTACAACCTCTTTTTACATCATGCCTTGTACCACAGATGCTTGAATACATCTGTATCCCACAAATTGCATGCAGGAACTTTTAAATTTAGAGGCTACTCAGTGCTGAGCATAGTGTCTAGTATGTCATCTATGTTATAGGAATATAGACAATATGAATGACTGATTAAATTGTTCACTTTTTATGTAACTATTATTGTCATAATAGGTGCAGAGTATATCCTCAAAGATATTCTCCAAGACAAAAGTGAGAATTGCTTTCTTATTAATTAATCTATTTTAGATAAGTTCTTATATATGCAAAGAATAAAGAAACCAATGCCTGCACTTATTACCACACAAAAATTCCTATAAATGAGATACGTTTCTCAAGTCAAATCAATTTTTGTCTTCCTTCCTACAAGCTATCACCTTCCCTACCTACCTCACATTTTGCAAATGCAAATGATCCTAGGCAATGGGTCTCTACTCCGCCAGAGTTGGGGGAAGGGTTTACAAATGTAACTCTCTCCAGCAATTGAAATTGCAATTCACAAAATTAGGACAAAGGGTCTCCACCCTAGAAATAATTTACAATACAATTAATCAGCTGGGTGAATCTGTATCATAAAAGACATCAGAAGTAAGGTAAACCAAACACCAGACATTCTCAAAAAAAATTAGCAATGCATTGTGATATACATATTTTGTAGGAAAATAGTTTCCAGGCAATAGGTGTGCTATCCTTTGTGCAATATAAACTTGGCTCGTGGATGTGAAAGGGTTGTTACTGCAAACACCGTATATATCTGGCCTCTGCTTTTCACAGAATAAATCTGAGGTTCACATCTCTAAGTGAGCAGCTTTTCTTTTTCTGGCAAGAAGATTCTAAGGAGTCTTTCTTTTTTAAGCGTTTGGACCACCCAGAAGGTAGATCTACTATCACAGCCAAGTTACAGATGGTTTGTTTTCACAAATGGTCCAATTTGGAATAAAGTACAAGTTTCTTTTGTGTATATGACGTAAGATTATTATATACATCTGATGCTGGTGTGTCCTTTCCCACTCAAAGCCTCCTCCCCTTCTTCCTCCCTCCTTCCTATTCAGAGCACACTCAGAGTCAACATCACTGTAACTGAGAACACTACATGGACTTGGGTATCAATATGAAAACGTTACTATAGTCTTAACTTTTGCAGGCTTGAGCATAGAAAAATATTTTACTTTACTATAAACAATTTGAAATTCGACCTTTTAGAAAGAAGTCTTCACAGGTGAATGCAATCCTTTACCAGGATTTAAGTGTAGTAGGAAGGTTGATGGGAAAACCTATTTAATTTTAATTCTACCAAAGATATAGCTGAATGGAGATGCTGGGTCATATGTTCATAACAGTCCTACGTCCCACAAATATCTCTTAAGTGCAGAATGTACTGTATGTGGAAGGCACTTTGGGGGATACGATGATAACTTAATAGGTTTGTACTCCCTGAGATGCTCCAATATGAGAAGAGAAGGGACATACAAGTACATAAACTACCATGACACATCCTGTTCAGGATTCCATGAGAAAAGCATGGCAAAAGAGATAGGAGGAGTCAGGGCAGAGATGAACCTGCAGGAGTGTCCTTGTAGAATAGCGGAAGAGTTTGAACAACAGAGTTAGCCCTATGAGGAATTGCAAATTTTTACTGGATGTGTGATCCTAAGCAAGTTTCTTATACTCTGAGAGCATCAGTTTTCTCATCTTAAAAGAATGTCTTGAGAATTCAGTGAGATAACGGTTCTCAGTAATACAATGAAGGTAATAATAACAATACCACAATGGTTCTCAACCCTGGCTGCACATTAGATCCATCCAGATAACTTATGAAACTATCCATGCCCAGGTGCTACTTGCAGAGGTTCTGAAGTATGGGCCTAGAGATGCAGAATACAGTGGGGCAATGGAGTTTATTGGTAGGCAACAGAGAACAACTGAATGAGCTTTCTCACTATTTTGGTCCATGTCCCACAGCATAGCCCTTCAGTGTATACTTGTCTTGCCCATAATTATTTCACTTTTATTCTTAACATAAAGATCTCACCAGAGGGGATGCATGGGTAGCTGAGTCAGTCAAGTGTCCGACTCTTGATTTCAGCTCAGGTCATGATCTCAGGGTCTTGAAATTGAGCCAAGCCCCACATCAGGCTCCATGCTCAGCAGGGAGTCTACTTGAGATCCTCTCTTGCCTTCTCCTTCTTCCTCCTCCTGCCCTCTCTCTCAAACAAATAAATAGATAAATAAATAAATCTTTTTTAAAAAGTCTCAGCAGGGCCATATCTTGTGTTTTCCTCTTGTCTCCTATAGTAAGTAGAATATTATAGATGCTCTATCTGTGATTTAAATTAGTTTTTTCCAAAAGGACCTACATAATAGGTTGATATGAATAATAGGGAACATCCAAGGCACTTGTTAAAACTTAAATTCCCTAGTTCCTTTCCTAGAGCTTATGATTTGTGATTCCAAGCATCTGGAGTGGAATGGGAGTCTTTATGTCCAGCAAGGACCTCAGGCTATTCTTCTAATTAGACAAGTTTGAAAACACGTGCTACATGACTGATGGCAGTACTATTTTCCATGATTTCTCTAATGCATTTGATATTTGAGACTGTAATGAAGCTAATAATGAATAATCCATTGAGAAACTCTTTGCTTCATTTTAGTTCTCTCTTCTCCTGTTTTTGGGGGAAATGTTAATAAAAAACTATGAGCAATAACATAAAGTAATAATATATTACACAGTAATACTATAATGTAATGCTGGGACATAACATACTTTTATGTCTAAAAAGATAGTTTTACTTGCTAAAACCGGGCCAATTTAATGGTCGTTTTCTCATCACTAGCCTAGTTGAACTAAAGAACCAAAAGTGAGAGGACCATGTGTTCTCCCTCTCTCCCATCCTTCTCTTCCCCATCCTTTTTTTTTTCTTATCAATTCCCCCCATAGAGATCCCAAAACATCAATCACTAGGTTGAATGCAAAGTCAGAAGTGGGTTCTGGCGTCACCATCAACCGTCTTTCTTATTTGACTTCTTAAACCACTGTTGATATAACCAAACAGCTGTTCCCATCTTAGTAGGAAGCCATAGGTTACTTGGACATTTATCCTCCTCTGAAAAATAGTCTTCTTTGTCCACTCTGTCTTAAAGTTGTTGTGATGGTCAAAGTTATTGGAAAGTGCATATTTACAAATATGATATTTGGAGTAAATATAAAACAGTGTTAATACTTACATATTAATACTCAGTGAAACTTAGTAATGTTCAGTATTGAAGTTCAACACACACCAGATGTCTCAGTTTAAAATTTATATAGACAGATACACAATAATCCTGCCTTCCACTTATCCCAACCAGACCTAAAAAATAATGTTAGGCTTTTCTAAATCAAGATTGAACATTATATAACAAATCTATGTAAGTATATTAGAAAAACTATGTGAGGCTTTAAAAAACAAACACTTTGAGCCATTCTTTCTTATTTTTTAATTCAAAGAAAAGACTTCTGGTCTCAAAATTTTAAAGATAGTACTGATTTTGACAAACTATAGTTAGAGAAAATTAAAAGTTTAAGATTATTTTTATCCCTGCAAGTCACATGGGGATGGAAACTTTTATTCTCCTAACAGTTCTGGGTCTGGGAGAATTTCCAAATGGAAAACAGCTATGAAATACCTCCAAAGTCTGGGATATAATAATCCCCATTGTCTTCACCAAGCTTCTATCAACGGTTCCTATTGAAAAATAATCATGATCACTACAATGATATGATCACAGAAATGAAGTGAGTACAATAAACATTTTAGTGATGAGACTGAAGATCTCAGACATGTAAGAATTTATTACCTTCACAATTTTATTAACTTCTATGAATCATGGCTATTCCTTGGAGCCACAAAGTTAAATAGACTTGATAGCTAGATTAATTAAGTAAATAGAGAAAAAAAGATTGAATGACTGATCCTCAAGTAAAATATCAGGAACAATCTAGTTTATTCCTGAAGCAGTTTGAGGTTTAACTCAAGTCCTGTGCATTCTTCTGCTCTAAACAGTTGGAACTTGCAAATGTAACAATAATGCATTGATTAATAGCTATAATCTTTGGATATGTAGGGACTAGCTCTTTTTCTTTCATGAGCTCTGCTTTAAATAACCTTTTCATTTATTTTCAGTTATCCATTAATTCCAAGAACTTCCAGTCTACTTGCAAAGACAAACAACACACAAGTAAATTAACAAGTACAACTTGTCTTCAGGGAGGAAATGAACAAGATGTAATGGTGGGAAAATAATGGTAGAGGGTCTGGAGAAGCCACTTCAGATGTTTGGGGAAGTCTCTTTGAAAATGTGACATTTAAGTCTAGACCTAAAGGATGAGGAGGAGCAACTGGGTGAAGAGTAGGGGAAACATTTCAGGCCAAAATAACATGTAGAACCCTGAAGAGGGTATACACTTGGTCTGTTTGAGGAACTGGAAGGAAATTGAAATAGTTACAACACAGTGGGTGGAGGGCAGCAGGAATAGTGTAAGATGGTGTTAAAGAAGTAGGGAGGGTAAGACCAGGTAAGGACAATTAGGCAGTTGTAAATAATTGAGATTTACCCAGAAAAATTAGGAGTAGGTATAGCAATCAAAAATTGGATACTCAACATAGTAATTAATAATTTCACATTTTTTCTCTTAAACATTTCATACCTATATGTTTCCAATATTAGTAAGTATTTTTAAACATTTAATAACTATGTTTCCCATATTCTTAAGTATTCCTTTCATCCCCCCCACGTACCTTGTCAACGAAAGAAAGAAAGAAAGAAAGAAAGAAAGAAAGAAAGAAAGAAAAAGAAAGAAAAGAAAGAAAAGAAAAGAAAAGAAAAGAAAAGAAAAGAAAAGAAAAGAAAAGAAAAGAAAAGAAAAGAAAAGAAAAGAAAGAAAAATCCATGTGGGTTTCGTGTAGACAGCATAAAATTGGATCTTGGTTTTGTTTTGTTTTTAACCTAGTTTGACAATCTCTGTTAAAACACAGAATATGATGTGGTTAGACCATTTACATTTAGTGGAATTTCTGATAAGGTTTAATCACAATTTAGTGTCTTGTTAGTTGCTTTTTATTTGTTCAATCTGTTTTCTTTTTCAATCTGTTTTTCATTCACAGAGAAGAGGCTGTGTGTGAAAATAAACTTTTCTTGTGTTTACAGTGCCCAGGGGCTCTAGACTCCCAATGTTAACTTTACTACTTTGTCATCATTTTAGCTGAATTCTTCTTTATTGCTAGAATGGTGCCCCCATCTTCCTCTGTGCTCTGATACAAGTAATACAAGTTGCTTACATCTTGGCTTTCCTTGGAGGCACCTGTCTTTCCTTTGATCCAGGCTTAGTTGGTTGCCCTGACGCTTCAGCTCTCTGAACCGTTCATGAAAAGTTATAATTTTGTATATGATATGACTCTTATTACTGCAAGAGTAAGTCTCTTTCCAGCTTTCTACATCCTAGATGCTCCTTCATGTGAATTTTAAGCACATTACTTACAGGGATGCTACAGTAGTTTCAATTCAAATATAAAAGCTCCCTAAATTTGGTGTGAAATTGTACTCCCAAATAGAGAGTTATGGGTGAAAAAAACCTAAAGAACACATTATTTTGTTTAAAGCAAAGAAAATATGATTCAAACAGGGTGTTAAGGAAGATGTCTTAGAAGAGTTATTTTAAGTAAGATTTAAAATTCCCTGCCAGTGAAACATTTAAAGTGTTACCAAACTGAAATACAAATTTCAGGCACAAAATTCAAGATATTGCAGAATGTTGGTTTTTAAATGATGCCATGATTTCTTCCAGATTACTCCAGGAAGCAAGGCAGCAGCTGCCAACCTGTGTCCTGGAGATGTCATCCTGGCTATTGATGGCTTTGGTACAGAGTCCATGACTCATGCTGATGCACAGGACAGGATTAAAGCAGCAGCACACCAGCTGTGTCTCAAAATTGACAGGTGCTCTTTAATTAATGGTGTTAAAAATGTGATCTGTTTTGCAGGAGAACCTAAACCAGAACTATAAATGATTTTATCCTCCCAGTAAGAAAGAATGTCACAGGACCTAGGATTTTGACTTTTTTTTTTTTTTTTTTTAATGTATCGACCACTTTGGTCTGCTTTTCATGAATGCCTGCCAATCTAGTAATTGTTAACGAACTATTTCTGAAAAGAATTCCCTGGAATGTCAGCATAAGTAAAGAAGCTAAAAGAATTCTTTTTCCTATTAAGTGACTATGAAAATAGAACCACTAAAGTTATTGGCCACAGAAACACTGCACAGCATAGCTACTGGTACTGCTGTTCTAAATGTGGTAGAGAATGGAATGGAATTTAAAGAGTCTCTTAAAAGAATTTCTCGATTTGCCAAAACATGATCATATTGAAAATTGGTGGCTAATACCCTGTATGCCATTGGCTATTTTGTACAGAATTCAGTCCAGAAGAATCTGACAAGGTGTATAAGAGTGCACATGCAGTGAAAGTGTTAGAAATGAGACCTTTATATATATATATTATATATATTATATATTATTATTATTATATATATTATAATTATATATTATATATTATATATTATATTATATATATATAAATAAATGGAAATGAGACCTTTCCATATATATATGGAAATTGAAACTGATCCTTGGCCATCATAACCCTGATCTGAAACAGAATTGTGAAAATAATGGCTGTGGTTCAGAAGGCACAATCAATCAGCCAATCTACCATTTCAGAGGTAAAATGGACTCTTTCCCTATTTCTGTATAACTAAGGTTCCTGCCAAGTGCACAGTCCTTTAGAAGCTCATGGTCCCAAACAGATACATGAGAAGGACATGAGATTGACTAAAGCTCATTTCCTTGATGCCAACAGCAAATCCCTCTGGCAAACCACTCACCACTCCTGTGGTGGCCTGGGTAGGATAGGAAGGAAACCTAGGGAGTCTGCCCCCAGAATCTTCCTCTCCTGGGCTGTTCCCTGCAGGTATTACCGAGACTGTGCAATGTCTTTGCCTTAGTCAGTTTGGGCTCCTATAACAAAAATACCATAGACTGAGTGGCTTAGACAAAAATTTATTTCTCACAGTCCTGGAGGCTGGAAGTCTGAGATCAGGGTTCCAGCATGGTCAGGTTCCAGATTATTTCCTCACTTGGCCTTTTCTTGGTGCGTGGACACAGAGACCAAGATCTCCTGTCTCTTCCGTTTATATAAGGACATTAACCCTATCGTGACAGTTCCACCCTCAGGACCTAATCTAATCCTAATTACCTCCCAGAGACCTCACCTCCAAATACATTGAGGGGTAGAGTTGCAGCATCAAAACTTGGTGGGGAGGGGGACACAAACTTCAGTGTATAGAAGTCCCCCGTGCAATGTTTATTCATTCGAGTTTCCCCAAAAGTACCCAAAAAAAACTAATTAGTTGGGAGAATACAGAATAATTGAGCAAAGAGTATTGCTTTTGCTTAAATTATCAAGGTTTGATAGTATTTTCATAAATGCTATGGGAGATTAGAGTATACTAAAACTGGAAGTATCATTAGAATTTAGAGTTTACAAAATTTCTTTTATTTACAGGGGAGAAACTCGCCTATGGTCTCCGCAGGTATCTGAAGATGGAAAGGCTCATCCTTTCAAAATCAACTTAGAATCAGAACCACAGGTATGAATTTTAGAGTAAATGATATTCATATTATATTCTCATTTAAATCATGTGGATGCCTTCCAAGAGACAGAAGTGGCAAATATAAAAAATTGGAATAAGCCACATGATGGAGCCATTATCCATCTTTACCCTGTGAGATTTCTTTATATTATCCATGTCTTTTTACATCAAGAAAAAAAGAGAAGTATCCCCAGGCAAGTGCCTTGTTAAAAGACAAATAGGTTCTCGGGATAAATTTGGCTATGTCTACCTATAGTCCACTTATTTTTTTCATTCTTTATGATGGACTTCTCCCAAAGGACTATGACATAATCCAAGAAGTTTAAAATGTGAAAACAAAGCAAAATGAAATTAGGGTCTACCATTTGAAACAGGTGTCTCTAATCTAATAATTATTGTGAACTTCAATTCTTCGAGGTCTTCATTCAGATCTTATTCTACATCCTTTTTAAATTCCCAGTTCTGGTGATCTGTGATTAAGTTTGCTCTACAAAAAAGGGTTTCACATTATGTAATGATGGTGAAATTCTATCCATGCAGTAGAATTACAAAAGATAGAGGATTTTCCCTTGAGGCAACTCTAATGAGCTAAATTAATCTAATAATCTGATGTTTATCTGATTATGTCTGCTTTCAAGAGCTCCAAAAGAACTGAAATTAAGCCAACCCTCAGTTATGCTGTATGGGAAAATGTAATTACGAAAAGGATTTTAGAACCTCTCGTTAGCCAGAGGTTTCCCAAGTTTAGAGAGACAGAAATATAAATTGGGTATCCTTTTTTAAACAAGTATTCATGCTAAATGGATTAAATATCCCCAAGCTGTAGTTTCCCTATATATCTCCTGACAATGCATTGAAGACATATTTGTCACTTATGCTTCAGCAGCACTTCCCTTTCCAGGATCACCAACTCCTGAATTCGTGCTTCCAATTTTTCATCCTCTCCATAAGCCTCCACTTTCTCCTTGATAAAACACATTTAGTGTAACAGGTACCTGTTTCTCATAGGGCTTCGCAAAGATTTAAATTAAATTTAAATTAAATTTAAAATATTTAAACTATTTAATGTAAATTTTTAAAATTTGAAATAAAATGATTTTTAAATAAAACACTGTAGAAAAAGAACTTGGTACATAGAATTGTTCATAGAGGTATTCAATTTAGTGGGAGCTTGCGGTGATACCATTCTAGTTCCTATGCCCTCACACCAGGCCGTGATGGGCAGGCCCCTGGCATGTGATAGGACTTCCTGGACACCAGGAATGCCTTCCACATTACTATTGCAAGGGTCGTTACAGATTACTTTGGATTAAAACTTTATATTCAGTTCAGATACAATCTCCTCCAGGAGAAGAAGCATCCTCAGTAGCTTAGTCTTTAGAAGGCATGAGTTTATTAGGTCCTTGCTCTAGACTTCTAGTGGAAGAAAGGAAGAGCCTGGGCCTAAAAATCACTATGATTAAAGGAGGAAAAGACAGGCCCCCAAACTGAAGGAGCAGGATATGGAATATCCACGAAGATGGGAACTGCTGTGTCTGTTCTCTTCCCTCAGAGTCTCCCAGGTATGACACATAGCAAGCACTCAATAAACAGCTGACCCATGAGTGAAAGGATCTGGAGGTGAGGCTCTACCAATGCAGTGCCTTTTCTAACCCTGCCCAGGAGCACATCTGGGAACCAGTTCTCAGAATGGTGCTCAGCTGCCTCGAGCCCCAGCTGCTGCAGGCTAAGAGTGGTCATGCAGGTTAAGTGGGATTTAGTTCAGGTAAGAGCTCAGCTCTTCAGGAAGAGAGAGCAAAAGATGAAATGGATGAGATAGGTAATAAATGTGGAGAGAAAAATAAATAAATAAATATAAATAAATAACTAAATAACTAAATAAATAAATAAATAGATGTGGGGAGAAGGGATCTGAATGATGTTGGTGGCTTACCCCCTGGCATCGGACGTGGATTGGTGAATAATAACAATACTTCTAATCAGCATTATCTTTGATAGAAGGAAAGATTGTAAGAAGAAAAAGCAAAACTCTCCAGGCAGAGCTGTCACTTGTAGATAGTCCTTTGCAGTAATGCCCAAGCCCACCAGCTTCCTCCCACCTTCATCAATTCATCACTTAGAGGCAGCACATGAAAAAAAGAGATCGTCATGTGGTGTCTTAAAAAACAACAGAAAGCAGTCAAAGTTTAAGGCTCACATATATGCATTTATTGACCACCCAATCTCATTATCACCAGGAAAAAATGCATAAAATTCTGAATTTCCTCTCCATATATAGTACACATCCAAAACTCTCTGTAAATTATGCGTTCACGTATTCAAAATTTCTCCTAATTTTTAAAATCCAATTTCACCAGTATGAGATGCTAAGATATGGGTTAAATGAGAAAGATCTGACCAAAGTACCAAATCTCCAGTGATCCCTGATCATATTGCAGGGCCTGCTCTAGCATGTGGGTGACTCAGCAAGTATTTATTAAGCATGAGGCTGAGCTTAGACCAAGACGGGAGCCTGTGTTTTGCTAACATCTCTCCGCATTTGGAGTTTAGGGGAAATTGTTTGAGTTTCCTTCTAGAAGAACCCCCTTTTATAAATCTGCAAGTACTAATTTATGACCATGATTATCCTAAGAACTGGATTTTTTTAAATAGCGCTAATTTTAAATACTCTACCCTCTCATCAGTCATGTATTAGCCCACACGTCCTACATTTTGGGGTTTGGCAATATGGACATTTAAGATATGAAATGGGGAAAAGATAGAAAATGAAATAGGTTAAAAAAAGAAAAGGTCAAGATTAGGTTAAAGACTCTAGAAGCCAGTCAGATGGAGCCTTTGAACGTTCCTTTACTTTGAGTCATGACTAATTCTTACTGGCACTCCCTCCAAGAGGCTAGTGTTTGAAGGTCTCAGAGATAAGAACCATTTCAATCCTTCCCCTAATGGGCCAAAGGATTCCTGTCCTTCTGATCCTCAGGCCAGATTTCTGCATGATCCGTTCATATAACTTGGCACTTCAGGATGGACATTCCCTACAAACATAGCTAAACTTCAGCGTAATCCTTGCTATCTGAAATGCCAAAGCAGAAACTTAACAAAATGTAGTGATAAAAAAAGAAAAAGCAGTGAATTTAACTTGTAGCATGAGAGTGGAGAAAACCTAAACTGAGGTTATGTTTGTCTTATTTTATCTTTTTAGTTAACACACTCCATGCAAAAAGAGGTCTTGCAAAGAGAGGTCTTCCCCCCACCCTCCAAAAATGGGACCTCTGCAAATAAAACAACTTTCTGGACAACAAAGAGTGTCATCTGAGAAACAAATGCTATTAATATATCATGCCTTCAGATGCTACTGTAGATTAATAGAAAAGGTCATTGAGCAATACAATATTTGAGTTCTTGTTTCTCAACCCAAGTGAAATGTTTACTGTAAGTTTTGTGAACTCTGCTATTAGAATATAACACTCTTTCATTTTAAAAGTAATATATATCCATTAGGGGAAAGAACACTATATCCTACCATCCAAACCCAGCCACAAATAACAAAAAGTTAATGTATTTCTTTTCAGTGTTTTCTCTATGTCTAGCTTTAGATCTTGAGGACTTTTTCATACACAGGTACAGTAATAACTGACATGAAATTTAAATACTGAGGGTTTTTTTTTATTTATCCATACTATTATTAAATTGTTAAACTTTGTTTTAATGATTTAATAAATTTTGTTTTATCAATTTAGACTTGAATCTTAGGCTTGAAAAGCCTTAGATGCTATTCTAAGCCATTGAATAAGTGTTCTTTATTTATAAAAAGTTATATATTTATATATAAAAAGCTAGTTCCAGCCGCTGAATGAATGCCTTCCATATAATCCTAACTGTGGCCTATGAGCAGACATATGCATTTTCCCATACAAAGCATTATTGCTCTACACTAAAGGTATATTTTTAGAGCTCTGTGTCCTTCTCCAAAGCTGACATTCTCAAATAAAACATTACCCCCATCTTTGTTTAATGTGAGTTGAACAACTCAAAATTACAATGTAGCTATCACATACAAGAAAGATACTTTTCAGAAACAAAAATCATTCTTTTCTAAATGAGAAGATAGCTGTTTCTATTTCCATAAAAGGACTGCATCCTTGCATAGAAGATTTGATAATCAAGATGTATTAGAACTACACATAGAATCAAGTGAGATACGAGTTGAATGAAGTCACTTATATTTTCAAAGGATACCTTTATTCTACAATTTGTTGATGAACTGGAAGGTGGACTGACTACACAAAACATGGTTTCTTAATCCCCATTTCTCCAAACTCTTCCCCTATTATACATGGGAAACACTTGAAACAGATCGTTAAAAAAAAATTATAACGGTGACTTTATTTTTCATTTGAGGGGTGAGCATGAGCATAATTTATGAACAATTATGATTGTTCGTAAATTACAAACATGATAAAATACTGTCAGTTTCTCAGTATGGCTTGATCAAGTATACGGTCACTTGATATAGTTTGTGTTATTTCCCCACCACTTTTTTTATAAGTAAATAATACATATATCCACGTTATCAAACCATGTTTCTGTTGGAGCTGGTAATTGCCTCAGTTCTTGGCCTGAATCTCCATCCCTGGACCACTTCTTCAAGTAAGTCGAAAGGTGGAAGTGTCTGTGAATGCTTCACTGCTAAGGTCATTTTAAGGGCTTAGGAGATGGCTGTCACGACCTGCATTCTCCCCAGGATCAGCAAATCCCTATCCAGCTGCCTAACTTTTCTCTGGCAGCTCTAGCATTTTATGAATTCAAGCTATTATTCCTTAATATAAGCTCCTAACATTTAAAAATACTATTGAAAATGCATTAATTAAGAATTAATTATTGAATTCCTAAGCGCTGAGAATCATTCGGATGCTTTTGTCAGGGTAAAATAAACACAAGAGCTGGACTATATTGACTGGTATATAATTTTTTATGGGAATTTTCTATTACTAATGATTTTCCAGAAAAAGTGAAAAGGAATTGAAGGGGAATAGCAAATTTCTCATTGGTTTTGTCTCTTGATTCTATTTGACCATCAACAATGATGTAACACTCGGATAGAATGTTCCCTCTCTGTGCCATACTCAAATTTGTTTACCTTTGATGTATCCACTTCATCCTGCTTTTTTTTGGAATGACTCTAGCAGCCCATAAACTAATGCTTTGCAAAGCCTAAATACAAATGTTTGAAGGCTGTATGAGAAGCACTTCCTTTCATGATCCTTTTATGATTATGTGCAGAAAATAGAAGGGTTTTTTTTATTTTAACAAATTACACATTTGCAACTTTTACAATATGTAACTGAAACTGAAAACAGCAAAGAAAAAGCTTGGCACTCATTAACTCAGATGCTGCTTTTTAGAAGCACTACTAGATATTATTAGTGCACAAATATTTCCAAAGAAGTTGCCTCATTTACAGGACAGTCACCATCCATGTTTATTTATCATTTTAAGACTAACAAGTGATAAGGGCAGAGACTTTTTTCACCACAAAACCATCATATTACATTAGCTAATTTTTGAATTTAATTCTCTTTACCAAGGTCTTTAAGGCATACTTAAACACACTTAGTTAAAAAAAAAAATCCACAAAGCTTGAGTCCTTCAGTTGTGCCTGAGTCACTCTTTTAATTAGCTTGAGAAATTTATAATATACCAAAACTAAATGAGGCAATTAGCTTTCTGTCTATTTTCATATCAAAAAGAGGAACAAAAGTTTGAGTCATGACCACTGTAATTACTTACAATTATTTCCAGTTCACTTTCTTCATGCGGTAATAATGACTAATCAGAATGGTTAATCATAAAGAGCCAATCAAAATTCATTATTCAATCAGCCAAAACAATCAGATGGTACCACCATATCAATGTTTGATGACACACGTTTTCACATGTTGAGGAATCAGCGTTTTTCTAAAGCCACATTTGGTTGTTTCATTTTTTCTGCAACCTAAGAACAGAAACTATATTGTCACCCAACCAACTCCTAGGCAATGAGCCACTATTCTGGAGGTAAAAATAATGAATCAGTAAGATATTAGTCAATCCAACCACACTATAGGATCACAGGCTACTGTATTCAATTCAGACTTTTCGGTTCAAGAGGCTGTTGTATACTATGCTGTCCAAGGTGATGGGAGAAAATCTACTCTTTACCACCTCACAGATTTTTCAGGTACCATGAGATTTGAGGCACTGGAGTCAAAAACTCAACTAGTATTTGAAGCTGCACCTCATTTGCCTCTTATAACTATTCTTTTAAGTGAGCTCTGCCAATAGACCTAGCTAGATGGGGGAACAGGGACAAGACGTGTGATTGTTTGCTAAGAACCAAAACAAAGCAATTTGTGGCATGGGTCCCTAAAGGAAGTGGTTGGTGTTCTCAAGCACAAGACTCTGTACAAAACTCTGGTTCCATCCCAAAGAAAGGAAGACAACCTGTTTTTCTAACAAAAAAAGCACCATCCCACAACGTCTTCATTTGTGATGACAAGAAGAGAAAAAAGTGACATGAGCAGAATATCACAAGACCTTTTTATTTTTTTTAATAAAAACAGCCTCTTTTCAGTAACCTTTCAAAGAATCATAAATGTTTGTACTAGTTGAAATCTGTGTGAAAAGCTGGTGGCACATTCACAAAATTAAACGAAGTCAATGTGAGTGTGTGAGTGAAAATATTGGAAAGATTTATCTTCCTGATGCTGCCAAATGAAAAAAAAATTGGAAAGAGAATCAGTTTGTGTGTATTTTAGCCTTCCCATTTGGTTTTCTTCTGCTGCTTAAAAGAAAAACATATTTAATGACTTTACAAAATTATAAATCTATATATAAAAACTGGAAAACCTCTTGTGAGGAAAAACAGTCTTTTAATTCTTTTCTTTTTCAGTCTTTTAATTCTTATTACTTGTTCTAAATTTAAGGTTAGACTTTAGGGCAAATCAAGAATTTTGTGTTTTGTGGTAGGTATTAAGAAAAAAACAGCACTTTTACTTGGATTAGTTAAAATGATTTAGTATAGTTATTCATAAGTGCTCCCTCTCTTTCTGTTTTTTGCTCTTCCATTTCCTAAAATGGAGGACGTTTTATTAAGATATTAATAGAAGAGAAAGCATATGTAAGTCCTACTTGAGAAAATGTTAAGTATAATAATTATTCTGAGCCCCGAATCTCAATTCTGACACAGAATTTCTGTATTCAAATGAGTCATAGGAGACTCGCTTAAAAGCTATTGAAGTCAAAGTCAGCAGGGCCAAGTGAAAAGTATAAGGTTCGAATTATTTCAGAATATTTAAACAAGGTCAGTTCCTTTGCACCATTTGGTGGCTGAGTACAGCACATGGAAAGTTCATGGAAAATGTAGAAAGGTTTACACTTCCCTCCGCCTTTAACCTCACCATGAGTCTTGCAGTAGGGGAAAGAAGCCTTGATTAACAATAGCGATGCGGTTGGTTTGCTCATTAACGGCTTTATTGTGCATTCTGTGGCTCTGTGTATTTTGTCTGCCATTGTACAGGAGTTCAAACCCATTGGTACCGCGCACAACAGAAGGGCCCAGCCTTTTGTTGCAGCAGCAAACATTGATGACAAAAGACAGGTAGTGAGCGCTTCCTATAACTCACCAATTGGGCTCTATTCAACTAGCAATATACAAGATGCGCTTCATGGACAGCTGCGGGGTCTCATTCCTAGCTCACCTCAAAAGTAAGTACCCAACCCAGTACTTCTGGCCACCATGCTCTTACCAGTGACAGTGCGGTTTCTTTTTCTTTCAAAAGTCCAGCTCTTGCTGTTTTATTTTTACTTTCCTGAAGGCATGATCAGATTTTTAAAGACAAGCATCTAGAACATGGGTAATATTCTGGAGAGTCCAATCTGCCAGTTCCTGAACATTTTTAGTGAACAGATGCTTAAAACAAAGAAAATTGCTCTGGTTCCATTGTCACCCTTTTAGTTATGTCAGTGTTTAGTGGTAAATAATCCTCTCTGTACAATTATCATTCATTTACTTTTATCTAAAAAAAAACAAAAAAAAAAACAACTGTCTTCCACTGAGGAACTTTTTAACCCTTTGTTGTTACAGGATGTGAACTACTTTGAACACAAGCACAATGTTCGGCCCAAACCTTTCATAATCCCTAGCCGAAGCAGGTCATAAGCTCTGAGATTGTGATGTCTGGAGTGCATGTTTCTTTAATAAATCCTTACTAATCAGTTAAAAGAGTAACACGTAGGTGTTTGGAGTGACTCTGCTCATCTTGAAGCTTATTTCAAAAGCAAAAGAAACAAACTCATTTCACACAGCATAGGAGGCGACTCATCTCCATTTATGAGAGTAAATACTGACAAGATTATAGAGCTGTGAAAAGTTAGGCAATCACCTTGTATATTTATAACTAATACCCCTGCTGTTCTGAGGATCCCATCCAGAACACAGTGACCTTTGAGGAAGGCAGGTGTACCCCATTTCCAGGTCAGGAAGACTCAGCCAGCAGAAACAAATCTGGAAATCAGCCCCCGGTCAGGAGTAAGGAAGCAGATGGGGCCCTGTGGGAGCACTGGTGCAGTAGCCCACCTAAACAACTGCCTCTCCCTGCACCACCAGCCCGCTGGGGAACCCCACTCATTCTAGCTCTTATATAAACATCTTATGGATACTTTACAAGAAAGAGAGGCCACTTGAAAAGGTATTTTCCATGTGGGGGAAAATAAGTATAAGGAGAGAGCTGGGAGAAAGGGGGTATGTTGGTTACCCTCACAGATAACTGTGTACTCACTGCAGTAAGAATGAGCAAGCTCTTCCTGGCTGTCAATCAGAGAAACAGATAATCTTCAGGTGATCCTTTTCAAAATAAATATCTTCTCTAGAAATTGTACTCCAACCCAAGGGGGGAGAAATTAATGCCCTGTGTTGGCACATTGGAAAAGAGTGACTTTAGGAAATCTTAAACCCATTCCTCTGACTTCAGCTACATTAGTCAGCTCAAAGGAAGGACGTCGGTGGTTAGGATTATTGACTAATGATCTATATCCAGTGTCCCAAGCTAGTGACCCATCCAATTTACAGACAGTGTTTTGTGTAATCTTCCTGTTGTTTTAAAAAAAAAATGAACTTAAGTAAATGCCATAAGCTGAAATATCTACTCCCCATCCTGTCAAGATGCCCATCACTCCTGATACCTGGCTCATTTTCATACATGTGTAACCCTGCTAGCCTCTAGTGGGATCCAAGTTATGATACCTGGTCTAGATGGTCAGTCATCAACTGATAGATGATCTCCTTGTTCAGACCCTTCCATAGCTGGAGTCAGGGCCAGAGGATTATCTCAAAATAAGCTGGACAATTTTGTCATATCAGACTCAGACAGGAGCAATAGAGTCGAAGAGGAGGAGACGATGCTAAAAAAGTAATGGCTACCAAGTACATCTTCCCCCACTAGAATGGAGCACCTTATGTCTTCCCAGCACCTAGAAACAAGGCTGGGACAGATCAAATGCTCCATAAATGTTCATTAGATAAAGGAACAAAATCCCAAGAGTACCTGATAATATTGTCTGAGTGGCAAGAAGAATCAAGAGCTATCCCCCGCCCCTCTTCATACATGCAACTCTGCACAAGCCTTTTTTTACTTCCCTTCTTTTGTGTTCTGGTTCCCATTCCCTTTTCCTCTGAATCTTCTTCCCTATTTGTCCACATTCAACAGCTTCCCAGCCCCGCCGTCAAAATCATAACACTAGATTAAGAGCTAAAATGCTGGGATCCCTGGGTGGCGCAGCGGTTTGGCGCCTGCCTTTGGCCCAGGGCGCGATCCTGGAGACCCGAGATCGAATCCCACGTCGGGCTCCCGGTGCATGGGGCCTGCTTCTCCCTCTGCCTGTGTCTCTGCCTCTCCCTCTCTCTCTGTGACTATCATAAATAAATAAATAAATTAAAAAAAAAGAGCTAAAATGCTATGTTACTATTCAATAAATATATATACAACTTTCTAAAGGAGCACAGTAGAATTAATACACTTGCATTCTTTTGAGGTTGGTTTAACTATAAATTCACTAATCTGAACTATAGGACTTCATGGTTAGAGTCACACAAGATGTTGCCTTTGCTAAAGACCAGTAACACTTTGAATTCTATAAAAATTCAGGGGAAGTCAGAGAGATTCAGGTAGCTCATGGCCTTCTTTTATATTTTTCACTTTAATTTTAATATGGTGACAAGCCACTCATACTTTTGTCATTGAAAGGTACCTTTCAATATGGCTGAATTGGGAGAGGAGAGAGGAGGAACAGGGATGAAAAGGTTTCCTTTAAGACAGGCACCAGAACACAAATCTTAAAGAATTGTAAAAATACCTCTACTACCTTTCCTTTCTTCCTGTGTCCCCTCACTATTTGCCCTAGCTTCTGAATTTCTTGCTCTTTACCAAATGATTGTCAAAGTGGAACTTTAGGTGGCTGCACCCAACGATCAATGAACAAGTTTTTAATCAGAAGGAAATGTGAGATGCTAAATTGTTACTGTGTTAATCTCCTCAGGGCCATACTGCTAGTTATGGTTCTTTTAATTATTTCATAATTGAAGCATATTCAAAATTCATTATTTTCATGGGCAAATATGTACATTTTAAATTTTTATTTTACAGATCCAAATGATAAAATAGAATCCTGTGAGTGGTTTTGGACAGGTCACTTCCAGAAGCTTATCCCCCCAAAAAGACCAGGGAAATTAGTTCTCTGTCTGATGATCTATGGAGGCAAGAAGTAATTGAGTGTATCATCAAGTTTACAGGTGGTCTTGCTAAGTCACTAAGTCAAAGTCAAGAATCTCATTAGTACTTACCTTTCCAGGTCACAGGTGACCCATGATACTGCCCACAGTGAATGAGGTCAATGAAAACTATTTAAAGAATCAGTTCAAGAGATCTTGAGAAATTGTCTCAGAAATTCATATAAAGATTGTTCTTATTTACTTAGGGTTTATTTCTTATCATTTCAATAACCATGGGCCCCTGAATAGAATAATAAAGAAACCAGGCAATAGAAGGCACAATCCTTGCTTGAATAAAATTACATACACAAGCATGCTATACACAAGAACACTAGTAATAGAAAAAGATTACTAATTACAATTATAAAATAAGGTCTATCAGTAGGTTCTGATTGCTCGTAGTTTATCTACCCTATGTCTAGCTCTATGCCTGGCACACCGTAGGGTCAGAGGAGCTATAAATGTTAGCTGACAAGGTTCACTATTTTAAGCCCACTCTCCCAAGATACAACTCAGTGTTTCAAGTCCTAAAAATCACAATTTAATATGCTTCATTTTACTTAGGACAAGTCAATATAAGCCTGAGTAAACTGCACTATAACTGAAAATTCACTTTTATTCTTTTACCAACTGAGGTCAAGGTCAGGAGCTAGGACAGTGTTGAGCCTACAAAAATGGTAAATAAACCACTCTGCATTTTGTATGTGATTAGCTAATTTACAGATTGGGTTTTAAATAGGCTCTCAACAGCCAGGAAGTGAAGGAGCACATCCATATGTATGTACTTGCCTCATTTAGGTCATCAAGGTGGTTTAACTGGATAACACAAGACAAAAAATTTAAAAATCCATTAGTGGCATGGGTTGTCTAGACTAAACAGGGTACAACATTGATGAAGTCAACAAAATCAATGTCCAATATCCTTTCGGGTTTTGCTGTCTATATGGCGCTCAGGTTAGCATAAGTAGCCCTAGAAAGTAAATGTAACAGCCATACTTCAGCCCTAAGAGAAAAAGAACTTTGACATAAACATGTCATACAAACTGTTTTCTGTCTGGGGTTTACAGCAACACTAACCTGCAAGCATGATAGAAATTTACAAATACTAACATTTCTTTTGGCTTAGTCTTAAATGACTGTGCTTAATTAAAAAAGAAATCTTAGCATATTCTTGTAAAATGAACTTCTTATTCTGCACTTAAAATGCATGTAGAAAAGTGACATTTTAAGTTATTGGTGTGCCAGCTGTGACTAGATTTCTATCTAGATTCATAGAGAATATGAAATACCTCTAGTTATTCTTGCAATTTGCATGATTGGCCTTTCTTATGTTTTAATAATAAGTCTCCTCAATTGATCTTTAAAAGGAAATGAGAAATATGCATGTAGATACACGTGTGCCTCCAAAATGTTACATGAAATAGCTATGAAAGAAATATAGCTTAGCCCTAGGTAATATCCAAAGAGTCTAAGACCACCTTATTTGCACTCTAATCAATTAATTTCAAGGTGACAAGCATTTATTGGCTGTTTCTAGAGCCTGTATCAAATCACTGAACAATTTATTAAAGTGTATTTTCACAAAGTTAAAGAATGAAAGTAGAGAAAGTTAAAATGGCAACTATAAGACATTTACAAAATAGCTTTAAAACATAATGTTTATCATGGAACCTTTAAGTTGCTAGTTACTTTTCAATAAAAGCATAACTGCATTGCTGAAACATACTTCTTATTTTGAAATGTTTAGCCTAAATTTTTGATGGGATCTTCAGGCTGCATAGTTCCTTACTATTTATGAAGGATCATTCAGTAATATTTTAATTTTAAATACCACAGCTCATAAATGTAAAAGGACATCCAGCCAATGTCCTTCCCCTGCATTATTTGTGACGTGGGCAAGCTTAAAATTATTTGGCCTATTTTTAAAAAAGCAAAGATAGTTGCATCTTTTCTACTTCACATACAACTCTGTGTGTAACCCTCAACATATTGCCTAGTAGAACAGAGCCAAAAAATGCAGTATCACCTGTACTTTTTCATTTTCTTGAACTTTCTGCAATCACAAATTTTGAAATGTCTTGCCTTTGTAAAATACATGCTAGCCAGAAATAAGTATTTCATTTGAATTTGGTTTAATTCACTTCTTACTTTCTGTCTTCAATTTCTTTTAACCTTTCTATACTTGTTCTCTGTGTTCTTCTGTCTGGATTTTCTGATTCCTGTGTCATGTCTGTGTCACGTGGTCATTAACACAGTGGATGCAGTACTCCGTCCGGTATTGACGGTGGCAGTGGACGTAGCACCCCTTCTTCTGTCAGTACTCTTAGTACAATTTGCCCAGGTGACTTGAAAGTTGCTGCTAAGATGGCCCCTAACATTCCTTTGGAAATGGAACTTCCTGGTGTGAAGATTGTACATGCTCAGTTTAATACACCTATGCAGTTGTACTCAGATGACAATATAATGGAAACACTTCAGGGTCAGGTTTCAACAGCGCTAGGGGAAGCACCCTCAATGAGGTAATACGAGTCTTTTTGAAACATGGGCGTATTAACTAAACACATGGGCAATGTCAACTTTACTGGGTGTCTTTTAAGGTTGTCTTCATTGAAGGAAAGCTATGTGGAAAGCTTTAAAGAGAGAAAAAAGACTAAGGGTGTATTGCAAATATCTAGACCTATAGAGAAAAGTGATTTCAAGAATTAACTAAATAGAATTTTATGTGACAAATCACAATAAAATGCAATCAGGAAAGGAACAAATGTCTATGTCTTTAGGAAAGCTACAGCATTCTTTACAAATATGCGGTACAATGCTTCTCAAAGTGATTTATAACCTAGTATAGTCTATGTTTCTTCTTTGGGGGTCAAAAATTGGGAAAGGAATGGGAAGTTCAGAAGAATTTTGAGGAATGACACCTCTTCTCTCTTTTAATGGTAGCTTGTGGAGAGGTAATCATGTTTTCATTTAGAATTTTTACCATGAATAAGGTTTTATAAGCTCAAGCTATTAACGTAAATATTTAATTTCTATTGGTCCCTATTTTGACTAATTGCTTCTTTACTATGAACATTTGTTCAAAGTACTTTTGCCATCAGTTGCTTCAAAAAAGACTTATTATAAGACAAAATCTTATTACTTCTTTCAGTGTTACATAACCACTTTCTACAAATTAAAGTTTTTTTTTAATGTTTTAGAGTACTGTGTAACAATAGTCCAACATATCTCTTGGGATGAATACAATTAGATAATAATTGTGTGATGTATCTCAAAGGGTTTTTGCAAGGAATTTCAGATATATAAGATGATGATTTTAAAATATGATATAGGTAGTAAAAATATGCAGATAGCAACTAACTTTTCTATATAATGCAACTAAATGACATAGAATAATAAAGCCTGTAGCCTGACATGTAGCATTATTGAGGTATTTTCTTATTGTTAATGAATTCTATTTGAAGAATATTAAAATAAAGCTTCTGTCATTGTTATAAATTATAATGTATTATTAAAAAACAATGTAGCCAATATAACTGACATATATATGAAAGTTTTGACATTATGTACTTCCCCATACAAGTTGCATTTATTTAATTTATAAGTAAAAAGATACCTTTATCACTTTCAGTAGTTAAATTAACCTTAAAAATAAAATTAAACCATATCTTTCAGATTAATATCAATAATGAATCTGAATTTTACTGACAATTTTATGACTGAGAATAATCAAACTGGGCTCACTCCTGCACTTCCTACAATGTGTATGTTGACTCTTCTGAGAAAATAATTTTGTTCACATTATAATTATATATCCATCAGGCACGAGTGTTATTTTTTTTTAATTGCTATTCCCTAACAATCACATTTTAGTTGCCCTCTAACATATTGTGCCAGATGGAGAAGTGCTGATGTGACTCCCAGGTTAATGAATGGCATCATTAAGGTAACTCATGTGAACTCATATTTTTTTTAACTGTAATAGAGATTAACTTGAAAATACTGAATCTTTGTTGAGGAGTAACTGCAAATATAGTGATTATTGCTTATTCCTGTCTTGTGTCTTCTTGCACATTCCATGCCTCACAACACTCCTGACACTGCTTTATGTGCCATCCTGTGTTTCAGTGAACCCACAACCACCTCGGTGCCCCCCCAGTCGGATGTGTACCGGATGCTCCATGACAATCGGAATGAACCTACTCAGCCTCGCCAGTCGGGCTCTTTCAGAGTGCTCCAGGAATTAGTGAATGATGGGCCTGGTGAGCAGCTATGAATGTCTGCTGTAACAGTACTGATGGAGGCTGTTGGAAAAGTCAAGGAAGGGGAGCTAAACATTGTGGATATATACTGGGATAAACATACTGGGAATGAAAATCTAAAAACTGATTTGTGATCGGTGATCACATGAATTCAGTGTTCATATGAACAGGATTCAGTGATCAAATGAGTCTTTCCTCAGAAAGATTTTGGTGGTGCTTGGTTTAGGAAAGGAGCTTCCAGAATGTATCCAAGTAGCCACCAACCTGGTGACAAAAGGACACCAAAGGCAAATTCCACCTATAGGAGTGGAGGGACTAATTTGGCTCAAAAGCTGTAAGTTAGAATTTTAAGCGGATAATGCAAAATTTCTCAGCACCTGCCCCCTCCAGGGTATCATCATCATCAAATGTAAAATAACACTGAAATAAATGAACCCTTTCTATGTTCCAAACCCTGTGCTAAATACTTTGCATACTTGATCACTTAGTCCTCACAATAACTTGTGAAGATAGGAACTTGTTTTTTGTCTTTTAACAATTAAGAAACAGACACACAGAAAGAATGGATTTGTACAAAGAGACAGCCAGTAAGAAGCAGGGCTGATTCTCTAGCCCACTCCCGTTATCCTCAGAGCTCATACTCTTATCAATGTTTTTCTACCCCAAAAATATTTTTGCAGTCCTTTCAAAGTTGCACAAAATTGCAAAATGCCCCACTATGATGGTTATTATTTTTTTAAAGAAATTTACAAGCGTTGGTGAGCATGTAGAAAAATTGGAACCCTTGTTCATTGTTGACGGGAATGCAAAATGGTGCAGCCACTATGAAAACCAATATAATGATTACTCAAAAAGTTAAACAGAGAAATTACTGTATGATCCAACAATTGCACTCTGGGGTATATACCCAAAGAATTGAAAGCAGGGACTCAAATAGATACTCGTACACCAACACATATGTCTATCAACTGATCGATGGGTACACAAAATGAGGTCTATCCGCCCAATGGAATATAATTCAGCCTCAAAAAGGAGTGACATTCTGATACAGGCTTCAACATGGATAAACCTTAAAAACCTGCTGAGGGAAATAGGCTAGACACGCAAAGATAAGTATTATGTACAACCACTTCCGTGAGGCACCTCGAATAGGCAAGTCACAAAGAAATAGAGGTTACCAGGACCCTGGAGGAAGTTGGAATGGGGAATTACTGTTTAATGGATACAGAGTTTTTGTTTGGGATGATGAAAGGGTTCTGGAAAGAACAGTTGGCGATGATTGCACAACCTTGTCAGTGTATTTACTGCTACTGAAATACATGTTTAAAAATGGTTAAGACGGTCAATTTTATGTTATGTATATTTTGCCACCATCAGAAACAGATGCAAAATGCTCTCCACTCCTTTCAGCATTTTATAACAGCTCCCTCCAACAACGACGACAATAACAAATTTTAATGGATTCTTTTTTGAAAGGCCCGATTTCAGAACAAGTTATGCTTGAACCGGTCCTACTCCTTTTGAAATGATAGTACTGGGGCAACTTAAGAATTCCTTAGGTTATAAAGTGCCTACCTTAAAATAGAAGCCGAATACAAACCGTAGCCAGCTGTTCCCTTGCCATAAATGGAAACACTTTGTTTTTCAGATGATCGTCCTGCTGGAACACGGAGTGTGAGAGCTCCAGTTACAAAAGTCCATGGTGGTGCTGGCAGCACACAGAAGATGCCACTCTGCGACAAATGTGGGAGTGGCATTGTGTAAGTTTCACTTATAACCTGAGAATTCACTACAAATCCCGGTATCTGTTCTCTATTTCTATTCAGTGACTTGAAATATATCCACAACATTTAGCACATTTTGACCAGAATGCCTTCAACGTAACCTAAAATTGGCATATAATGTGAGTCAGCAACCTGGACTTATAATTTCAGATATAGTCCCATTTTTAAAAAAACTGTCCTAGAAGTGTATTTTTAAAATTGCTTCCAAGAAACATAACTTCACTTTAAAAAGCCCTCCCTTTGTTAATGTATAGTCTTTAAATACTTCCTTTTTTGTATAATTTGAGGGAACCAAACACAGAGGCCATAAGGTTGTTAGTTAAAACACTTTATCTTTACTCGGTTTCTTAAGCTGCACAAATATTGAAATATAATTTTTTTAAAATACAGTCAGCTTACATTTCAAGGGCCCTTATGTTTGAAAAGCCACCCTTGCTAGTTTGAATCTTCAAGTGAACTAGATCGTTTCAATCTCTCTACTGCAAATGCCCCACATGGCCACTTCTTCCAGCCTTTACTTTGTTCCTCTACGATTAGCTCACGCACTGAGGCACCAGCTGTCCAATTATCCAGGATTTATCCCAGAAGGGCAGGGGAGATAGGCCTGGTTAGAGCAAGGAGGGGAATGTGACACAGAAAGAAAGAATGAGGACAGCAAGCTCAGAAGCAAAGAGGATCTCATAAAACACAATAGTTTATGATGGTACCCAAAGCAATCACTGCCTCTATGTTGGGGTGAACTGCTTTGACAGTAGAGGTGAGTCCATCCACCCATGGAAATTCCATCTCTGCTCTTTGACCTGTTTTCTCTGTGCTCCAAAGAATAGAGGCTGTACTACCAAGATAGAAGGCAATCAGAGGGCTGTTTGGTCATGTAGGCAAGCTTGGTCAAAATCAAAATCCTTTGCAGAGGTTTTGCCTTGTCTATACCATGTTTTCCTCTTTCAAAGAAACAATGGGCAAAGGTCATGAAGGAAGATCCTATAACTTTTATAGAAACGACTTGTTTGAAAACTCTGAGACATATTCACAGGGTGACATCAGAGAGCGTTGTCCCGGGGTCTCCCTGACAGTTGCATTGATTTCACAGCTGTGCTGGGTTTACAGCTGGAGCCTGTTTCCTGAGTGTGAAACAGATAACACCTGCCTTATCTGCAGTGTTGTCTCCCCCTATATCATGTTTGGGGCTTTGTGTTTTTTCACTTCATCTCCTCTTTCTCAACAGTGGTGCTGTTGTGAAGGCGCGGGATAAGTACCGGCATCCGGAGTGCTTCGTGTGTGCTGATTGCAACCTCAACCTCAAACAAAAGGGCTACTTCTTCGTGGAGGGGGAGCTGTACTGCGAAACTCATGCAAGAGCTCGCACGAGGCCCCCAGAGGGCTACGACACAGTTACTCTTTATCCCAAAGCTTAATTAAGCCTTACACACCCCTGAGCACGCGCACACTCACATGCACGTACACAGGAACACATCGATGGCTTTGGGCAGACGTAGAGCAATCTGTTGACTCCAAATCTAAAACCAAGGCTTTTAGACATTTATCTTATTGTTACTGAAGAAAAGGAGTGCGAGACAAATGCCTGCTATAAATGTATGTGGAAACATTCATTTAGCTATGTTTTTTTCATAGCTCTTTTTCTCTCTGGGGCTAGCAATAACTTAATAACATTTAAAGCAATATTTTTTTTGTATGTCATACTCCACCATTTATATTTATGCTATGACATCGAGATATTTGGGGGAGTCTCATGATCTTTCCTTAACAAGCTGATTTTGCGAATGTAGTAAATACCAAATGACAATCTTGTATTCTAACACAACCTGCAATTGTCTCTTACCTGTTTTAACTACTATACTGCATGTCAGAAAGAAATTCCCTAGATTGCTCTAGTTTCATATTCAAATAATTATACCACCAGATGCAACATACATAATAAACACATAAAATATTTTTAAAATACCTAATGAAGTGGCACTCGATGAATTCAAAGAAAATCAACATTCCAACAAGAGGGCCCAACCATATCTCGACATGTACATTAACAACTTAGGTATTTTAAGAAAAAATGTGGCTTCTTTAGTTTTTATAATTCCTTCACTCTTTCTTTTGAGCCCACAATTTCTGCTAATAGGAGGGACACTTAAATTTGCTAATTAAAGATAATTCAGTCCCTTTCCCATAAAAACAGTTTCTTGTGCTTTGAAATAGTCTCTTGCATTTTATAAATGTTTCTTTCAGACGAAATATTCAATCAATACAAGGCTCAGACCTCGCTCACGGGTGTTTCTTTATGGTCAAAATTTCACCACTGCTGCCTCTTCCCTCTCAAGATAGCATCTCCAAGAGGAGACAGTCTTAGGGCCCTTCCGAGAAAGAGAGGGGCTGCTAGTCTCCCTGGATCCTACTGTATCCACTGCTAAAATCCATGGCTTCACTTGTGGTCTATTTTTTCCTCATGGTTGGAAACAGGCAACAAACCCACCTCCAGCATCATCTCCAGAAGTCTCAGCTCAGCCTTCCCTGGACTCAAGGGTCCTTTGCATCTCAGACCTGAACTCCGTCTGGCCCCTGGCTCTGCCTTGTCACCTCGTCTCTCACTTTGGTGGCCATGTGGCAATGCCCCTACCTTGCATGTCTTACCTACTCCAGGGCTCCTCACTGGGGGTACATGGGAAATTTCTGAAACTGTCCCCTCCACATAGAGACCATGGGAAATTGGGAGGGTGTGGAGGTGGGGAGGTAGGGCCTGTCTCAGGCCCTTGGTCTCACCCCCTGGTCACAACATCATCTCGACCCTATTACCCTACTCTCTACATCTATACCCTCCCCTATGGGCCTGAAGCAGGTAATCTCCCATTGTCCCAAATGGAAAATAGGGCACACATTGTATTGCTCTGGGATTCCCCCAAACTTAAGTAATTATTTCTGACCTATATAAGAATTTGATCTAGTGAGAGGGGCCACAACACCTACCTGGCCCCTTAGGCGTTATAGATTGCAACTGGAGCCCCTTGCGCCAGAACAGATTCATTAACAGAGGCATTAAAATAAAATAAAGAAGAAACTTAGAGATCAAAGAAATGGGTGTACCAAAAATAGATTATAATTTTTGTTCAGATGTTATTTCAAAATATTTTGTTATGGGAAGGACATAAAATTAAAGGTTTGGAAGTCAGAGAGAAAATAAATAAATGGTAACCGATTTAGAAAACACAAAAACACTGAAATCCAAAGCAGCAGTGGGGAAAACTAAAACCAACCGAATCCACCCTCTGGTATCTTGCAAAGGTGTGGAAATTAACAGCACCAGCATTTCTGGGTGAGAGGATAAGGGTGGAGTGACGATTGGGAGAAGCAAGTATAAACTGTTCAAGAAGTATTTAATCCCCAGAGCTGTTCCCTCTCTCACATCTCACAGCCCTTTCCAGTGGAAGTCTGCTAGGTATTATCTGTAGAAGATAAAACAACATCTCAGCCGGGGTCAGGAAGCACAGCTAAGGATATGCGTATTGTACTAAAAAGTGATTAAATTAAGAATGAAAGATTCATGATAAAAGTGTACATTAAACATTATGTTGTACATTAATTAGACTGTATTTTAGTATATAGTAGAATAATTATGAACAGCTTAAGTTCACATGTTCAATAATGAACTTGAAAAAGGGTAGTGCAGTTTAAAAAAAATAGGATAGTCCTAATCTGAAATTTGAGAGAGATATGGCTTAAATCTGGTAATTCAGACTATGTGACCAAGGCTTGGGAAGCATGCCCTGAAGTTGTAAGTTCATTATATTTCATAAAAATTATTCTTTCGACAAATCTAGAAATTTCAACATGTAGAGAATTAATAAATAGAAATGAATGTAATAGGGACACCTGGGTGGTTCAGTAGTTGAATGTCTGCCTTTGGCTTTGGGTGTCTGGGATCGGGTCCCACATTGGGCTGCTACAGGGAGCCTGCTTCTCATTCTGCCTGTGTCTCTGCCTCTTTCTCTGTCTCTCATGAATAAATAAATAAAATCTTTTAAAAAAGAAATGAATGCAGGGCAACCTGGATGGCTCAGCGGTTTGGTGCCGCCTTCAGCCCAGGGCCTGATCCTAGAGACCCAGGATCGAGTCCCACGTTGGGCTCCCTGTGTGGGGCCTGCTTCTCCCTCTGCCTGTGTCTCTGCCTCTCTCTCTCTGTGTGTCTCTCATGAATAAATAAATAAATAAAATATAAAAAAAGAAATGAATGCAATAATATACATATAGATAAACTCCTAAAGACTCCACCAAAAACTGCTAGCACTGATAAATGAATTCAGTGAAGTCAAAGGATACAAAATCAATGCACAGAAATCTGTTGCATTTCTGTACACCAATAATGATGCAGCAGAAAAAGAAATTAAGAAAACAATCCCATTTATAATTGCACCAAAAATAGTAAGATACCTAGGGATAAACCTAACCAAGGAGATGAAAGACCTATACTCTGAAAACTATAAAACACTGACAAAAGAAATTGAAGATGACACAAAGGAATGGAAAGACATTCCATGCTCATGGGTTGGAAGAACACATATTGTTAAAATATCTATACTACCCAAAACAATCTACACATTTAATGCAATCCCTATCAAAACACCAACAGCATTTTTCACAGAGCAAAAACAAACAATCCTAAAATTTTTATGGAACCACAAAAAAACCCTAATAGCCAAAGCAATCTTGAAATAGAAAAGCATAGGAGAAGGCATCACAATTCTGAACTTCAAGATATATTACAAAGCTGTGATCATCAAAACAGGACAGTACTCATACATAGATCAATAGAACAGAATAGAAAACTCAAAAATAAACCCACAATTATATGGTCAAGTAATCTTTGACAAAGCAGGAAAGAATATTCAATGGGGAAAAGACAGTCTCTTTAACAAATGGTGTTGGGGAAACTGGGCAGCAACATGCAAAAGAGTGAAACTAGACTACTTTCTTACACCATACACAAAAATGAACTCAAAATGGATGAAAGACCTAAATTTGAGAACTGAAACCATCAAATCATAGAGGAGAACAAGGTCGTAACCTCTTTGACATTGGGTGGAACAACTTCCTACTAGATACATCTCCTGAGGCAAGAGAAACAAAAGCAAACTTAAACTATTGGGACTACATCAGAATAAAAAGCTCCTGCACAACATAGGAAACAATAAACAACACTAAATGGCAAACTTTGGAATGGGAAGAGATATTTACAAATAAAATATCCGATAAAGTGCTAGTATCCAAAATATATAAAGAACTTCTAAAACTGAACACACCAAAAAACAAATAATCCAGTTTAAAAATGGGCAGAAGACACAAATAGACATTTTTACAAAGAAGATACACAGATGGCTAACAGACACAAGAAAAGATGCTCAACATCACTCACCATCAAGGAAACACAAGTCAAAACTACCCTGAAATATCACCTTACACCAGTCAGAATGGCTAAAATTAACAAGACAGGAAACAACAGGTGTTGGACAGGATGCAGAGAAAGGGGAACCCTCTTACACTGTTGGTGGGAATGCAAACTGATGCTGCCCCTGTGGAAAACAGTATGGAGTTTCCTCACAAAGTTAAAAATAGAGCTACCCTATAACCCAGCAATTACACTACTAGATATTTGCCCAAAGGACACAAAAATACTGATTTGAAAGGATACATACACCCCAAGCCTTATAGCAGCATTATCAATTATAGCCAAATTATGGAAAGAGCCCAAATACACATAGACTGATGAATGGATAAAGAAGATGTGATTATTATATTATATTTATTATATTATATTATATTATATTATACTATTCAGTCTTAAAAAAAAGAATGAAATCTTGCATTAGCAATGACATGGATAGAACTAGAGAGTATAATGCTAGACAAAATAAGTCAGTCAGAGAGAGACAAATACTATATGATTTCACACATATGTGGAACTTAAGAAACAAAACAAACAAGCAGGGACACCTGGGTGGCTCCGTGGTTGAGTGTCTGCCTTTGGCTCAGGTCATGAACCCGGGGTCATGAACCCGATGCAGGACTAGCATCAGGTTCCCATAGGGAACCTGCTTCTCCTTCTGCCTGTGTCTCTGCTCTCTCTGTGTTTCTCTCATGAATAAATAAAATCATTTTTTTTTTAAAAAGCAAGCAAGCAAACGGTAAAAATGGGAGAGAGAGAGAGAAAGTAAGAAACTCTTAATTATAGAGTACAATCTGAAGGGAGCAAGTAGGGGATTGGTTAAAAAGGTGACGGGGAATTAAGGAGTTCACCTATCATGATGAGCACTGGGTGATGTATGGAATTGTTGAATGACTATAGTGTACACCTGAAACTGATATAACACTGTATGTTAACTAAAATTAAAATAAAACCTAGATAAAAAAGAAATGAATGCAATCGGAAAAATTTTTTTAAATACATATAGTACAAAATAAGAATAGCATTGTTGAAAAGGAATTAAAACTTTTAAAAAATGAGACAGCAATATGTCCCCCTATATCAGTATTTTTCTCTCAATAGTTCACACCAGATTCTATATAGGAATTCATAAAAAAAAAAAAAAGGAATTCATGCTATGAAGAAAGAGTGCCAACCAGTTTTGATTTAGCTCACAGAATAACATATTTTCTTAGTAAAAAACTAATCACTGTGTTCCTATTTACAAGCTTATTAAAGTCAACAATGATCAATGAAATTATCCACTAAGATTAAAAACTGGGCATCTATGAACTTTGGACTCATGATTAACTAAATTGCAAGTTTGTTTGTTTGTTTGTTTGTTTTCAGAGTAAGCACAGGATAGGGTTGCTACACTCTCTACCAATAGGATGAATGATTGAATAAAAACCAGTACTAGTTTTCACATATGCTTGCACCTGTGTAAGCAGAGTAAAACATAGTGGTTAATGTGACACACGGACAGTTTACTCATCTCTTCGTAAGATAATCTCCAGTTTGTCCAACATGGGAACACTCCAAGATAAACAGAATGTGACTCTGGGTCTCTTCTATTAACAACTGTAGTTGCCAAAATTTGTCAAGTTGACCTTTGAACGGATTTTATTTCCATCCTAGATAACTGCAACTTTAAACATTACTCTTAATGATCATGCCATCAGAACCTGATGTTCTTTTACTATTTATGCTGCGCCATCTGAACCATAAGCATAAAATGGGCGATTTAAAAAAAAGAATGAGATGTTTAGATAATTCAAGTAAATAAACCATTTATCTTCTCTAAATGAC